CCTTTTTAAATTGTGGGTCAATGGATTGTATATTTGCCAGTCTTAGTTTTAATAGGTGTTTACTGGCTAATTAAGGGACTACACCTGAGAGGCTTGTTTGGAGATAATCACTTGTCCTATTGTGATAATCACCTGTCCACCTTGTGAATCAGCGGAAGGCAATGCTTATCAGTAGCAAAATGTCAAAGTTGAGGACACCATCTCCTCCCCGGTGACATGATTAATTTCAGAGACGCACTAAGGCCTTTTATGCATTGTCATCCAGACCTCATTCAGATTTGTTATTGGAACTGAGGGCCAAAATCAAAGAGGGAGGAGAGGAGCTAATAGTCCTTGAACTCTGCTGAGGGCTTTACCTCCTTTTTCTTGTGAATTTACTCCTTACAACTAGTGTACAAATCAGTACCCCATGTTATAAATGGAAGACCTAAAGACCATAAAGCTTAAGTGACTTGCTAAATTTATCCCATGAGTAAATGCTGGAAACAGTCATTCTGACTCTAATATCCCTGGAGTCCCCTAAATCATATGTGATGATTATTACAAAATATTCAAACACAAGACAGTTATCTGTTGCTGAATGATATTTATTAGCTTAATAATTTGGGCCTGCCCTTAGCATTAATAAGCTTCAGCACTAGTCACAAGATTTTCATTCACTGGTGGGGAAATTTTCTTGTTTTAAAAAATGCAGTTAGACAAAGGGCATCTACTTCTTGGGGGCTGCAGTGACAGCAGGTTTCTCTTCACGGGTGATGGGAATGGTGCGCTCAGGGCCCGAGGCCTGTTTCCTTGGTCCATTCACAGTGAGGATGCCATCAGATGACAGGGATGAAGTAATGGTGAGAGGGTCCACATCAGCTGGGATCCGGTATTTCCGGTGGAACTCCCGGGAGACGAAGCCATGTTCATCCTAATCCAAGAGAATAAGGAAAGAGGTAGAGAGATAAGAACAGGAAATAGCATCACTTGCCTAGAACTCAGACATCCCCCTTCCCCTTAGGTGTGGCCAAATGCATGGCAACATGAGAGAAAGCTAAATAGCTGTTCTGTTTGGGGCTAAGATGAAATTGCCTAGGTGGTCACTCCTACCAATGACAGTCTGATAAGTCTGAACAGCCAAAACTTCATAGCTCTCTAAACCCTCAGGCATGGACATGTTCAGGGGTATTTCCCAGAGGTTTAGATCAATGTTTTTTGGGCCTACAGGATTTGGAATATCATCTGGCTTTGAAGATTTGAGTCCCTGAGGAAACCCAGAAATTGTCCTGACTCTCCAGGAATGTTCCAGAAGGTTCCAGACCAATAGACCTAATAATAACAACAACAACAATAAAGACTCCCTCCAGGGAGACTCTGATCTAGAGTTGAATCATACAAGCAAAACTGAAACAGCTTGAGGACCTCACACTATACTGTTTGATGCACAAGTTTCTAAGGTGGGAATTCCCTAGCGGTCCAGTGGTAAGGACTCCGCACTTTCACTGCCTTTGGTAGGAAGCAAACTCATTGAAAAACTCTCCCAGAAAGTAATGAAAAGCTATTCCATTCTTTAGAATTTGGCTAAAGAATTCTGACCCTAACCTTTACACCTGCTGAATCTCAAGCATTTATCCAGACAGGCTCTCAACTGATTTCCACATGGGTCTAGGGTATTAGGAGGTGAGTAGAGCTCTGAAGCTTAGGCAAAGCAAGTAGTTCAGCATTAAGATGGGCTAATGAGAAGTGAATTCCAAAACACCTGAAAGTAAAGTCTCAAATTCAAGGGCCTTCCGAGTGCATGCAGTTAATGTAATTATATAAAGCCATCAGATGTCTGACAACCACTACTCCTAAATCAGTGGTCTTCAACCTTGACTAACTGTACATTAGAATCCCTTAGGGAGCTTTGAAAAATCCTGATTTAACTGACCTGGGATATGCCTGAGCATTGCGATTTTTTTTTCTTTTAGCTGTACGTGGGCCTCTCACTGTCGTGGCCTCTCCCGTTGCGGAGCACAGGCTCCGGACGCGCAGGCTCAGCGGCCATGGCTCATGGGCCCAGCTGCTCCGCGGCATGTGGGATCCTCCCGGACCGGGGCACGAACCCGCGTCCCCTGCATCGGCAGGTGGACTCTCAACCACTGCGCCACCAGGGAAGCCCTGGGATTTTTTTTTTTTTTTAATTCCCCTGGCAATTCTAATGTGCTCAAGGTTGAGAACCACTGGCTTAAACAGGAAGTTAACATCCCATCTATCCCATCTGAGGCAATCAAATCAAAACAAACAAAGATCACTTCTCTGGCCAAAACAACAACAACAATAACAACAACAGGTTTACCCCTGTTCTTGACCCTTATGGCTTAGGACTGGAATGCTGCCAGCCTCAGGGGCTGATGGCAGTCTCTGGCATATAGTACGCGCTGGATGAATGAGCAGAAGAGAAAGTCAGCTACGTACCTGGCGCTCTTCATGTTTTCCATGCACCTCAATCACATCTCCCAGCACCTTGACCTTGAGTTCCTCTGGGGAGAAGTGCTTCACATCCAGGTTGACAGAGAATCTGTCCTTCTCCAGCCGCATCTGGAAATAGCAAGGTGGGGGAGGGGAAGACAAAAGATAGTAGGAATATGAACAACACTAGTACAGTCTCATTCTGCAGACTTGCTTTCTTTCCAGGTAGTTTATCCTCCTCTTTTTAGCTAAAAATCCCTTTTTGAATCAACATGACTCTCTAGTTCAGGGGTGCCACCACAGTGGTACCCAAGGCACACCATTTGGTCATCAGGCCAAACTTTATTTACAGGGACAGGGAAGAAGACAGACCACCCAGGGGACAAATCACAAGGATGGGTCTGGGCATGGCTTCTGCTGCTTCTCTGACCCAATGCCTGGCCTTGTCATCCGTCTGTGAGACAAAGGCCCCTTCTTCTTACTCAGGTCTCTGCCAAGTTTCCCACCCACTCAATCTGGAATGTTCTGCTAGCTCTGATTGTCCTTCCAAAGCCCTTGCCCACTTGGCTCCTGTTTACTCACTCTTGAATATTTTTAAACCAGAGTGTTATCTGTGACATCTTCTGTCAAACTTATCTGTTTGCCCCATTCTTCTACCCTCTCAGGACAAGTGGAGGGGGGTCCCTAAACTTGACCTACCTTCTATCCTCATTAGGCTTGGACCCAGGCCAGTGCCCTGTCACAGCCCTGAGAAACCCAGAAAATCATAGAAGAGGGAATAGAAAGGAAGAAAATAGTGGCTGCTGTCTCCAGCTCCATGCAGCTGGGATGAAAAGCTCAGGATGAGGTAGGACTGCCTCCTGGCTCTGGAACTTGAGATGATAGTATTTGCCAGGAGTGTCAGGTATTAGAAGAGGTGAGCAAAGGAGTCTGAGCAAAGGCAGCTCTTTCCGCAAAGGAGTCTGAGCAAAGGCAGGTCTTTCCCTGTAGATCATTATGAACCAAACCAGAAAGGGACATCCTACTTAGAAGATGGGACAGAGAATGATCTTCATAACACATGGGAAAAATGTAATAAATAAGGATACAGAGGTGCATCGAATACAAAGAGGTGACTGGGGAAGAGAGGAACTAGGGACCTCATCTTTCTTCACTGCAGGACACACAAGAGCCTAAGACACTTGGGACCCTTTGACCTAGTCAGATTTAGGCCAGGAGGAAAAGGACAGTGGATGGAGACGCTTCCAGGAGTCTCCAGAATGAACTCACCTGTCCTGGCAGACGGGAGACTTACCTCTGAGAGCCCAGTGTCAATCCAGCTGGGTGCCCGCAGAAATGAAGGCAGCCGAAGGTAGAAGGGGCTCAGGGAGGTAGAAGCTGGGAAGAGATCAGACTCCAACAGGTGCTCGCCAAAGAACTGGTCAAAGAGGCGGCTGGGAGAGTGAAAAGGAAAGAAGGGGCGGCGGATCCAGGGGTGGTGGATGGCGATGTCCATGGTGGCTAGGTGAGTGTGGGGACTCAGCTGGCTGGTCAGCTCCTTCAGCCGCAGCTACAGCCAGCCCCTTATATACGCAGTCTTCTGAAGCTTCTGGAATGGTGATGTCAGGGGTTTTATTATCCCAGCTCACTGCCCGTTCATGGAGACTTGTGATTGGGGATTTGGCAGTGTGACACATACCCAGTACTCACTGAGCTAAGAAAAGAGAAATACAAACACGTCTGAGCTGGCCAGTGACTTGTCCTGGTCTTGTTTTACTCGCTTTCTGTCCGCACCCCATGGCACCCACCCCCACCCCCTTCTCTGGAGTTGGGACTGAGGCAGGAATCCCAGGCAGGCGGGCAGTGGGCCCCTCCTCCTCCTCTGCAGCCTAGCATGCCAAGGGAATGCGGCCAGAGACTATCTTGGGCCTGGGCAGGAACTGGAATCTTCCTAGGCTGGGCCCCAGGATATTAACTCTTTGTGGGTCCCTGAAGGAGAGTAGTGATCACCAACATGTCAACGGCAGGTTTCCACGTGGTGCCCTGGGTTCAGAGAGGACCCTGACCTTAATCTAGGCAGGAAGGCCCCTCACCCCACCCCAGAGAAAGGGGAGAAAGTTGTTTGCGTCGTTCACTTTACAGGCCTGGCAGAACAGTAAATCCAGGGGAGCTTGATGAAGCAGAGCGCCGGCTGCCTACCACTGAGGAGGGGAAGAGGGGCGTGGAAAACGTGCAAACTCTTTGGGAGGGTCTCAGCGCGGTCTCTCCGGGGCCTCCGGCGCCAGCCTCCCCTCCCCAGCTCGCTCCGCAGCCAGGACCCCCAGCTGTCCTCCCCGGGGGGG